AGCGTTGCTGCTCGTGTTTCCAAATCCATACCCTTTTGCAAGTCTCCTCGAACACAAATTCGTGCTTTGAACTTTGCAATCTTCCCAAATTTGTCAAATTTGTATTTGAAGACCCATGTCAGTGGTAGGATTTGCTTTCCTTCAGGTCTGTCGACAACTTCAAATGTGCCTTTTCTCTTTAATGACTCCATCTCAGTTCTCCCAGCTTCCTCAAATTGCCTGGCAAATCTGTGTCTTTTGACGCCTATCCAGTTCCTGGGCTCTGGTGGGATATCTTCATGAAGCGGCTCATACCCATCAAGTTTCTCTGCGGCTGCCAAAAACGCTTTATACGCTGAAGACTCTTGCAATAACTTCATTCTCGCGAAAAAAGCTCGGTGCCTCTTCCTCTCCGCCTTAGATGTCGCTATTTCTGGGCTTCGAGCACGCTTAGAGGGAATCCTTCGGCGTGGTCCTGTCACAATATTTCCCTCTGAGAGGTCAGCTCCGATTTCTGAGGCCTTTGGCGCGCTTCTTTGCTGCGGGGTAGTTGATAGTAGTAGCTCAGGTAACGTGACGTCAGGATTTCTTGATTCCTCATTGGTCAATTGCAACAGCGGTGTCTGTTCATTTCCTATTTGGGGAATCTGCCCACTCGGACTAGTGGTTGTTCCGGCCGTGAGAGCCATATTCTCTCGCTCTGCTCCTTCATCCTGTTGAGCTTCTTCCTCACCACTATCCTCACCAGTCACCCTCCCAGATTCGCCAAATTGGGATTCATCACCGTACAATGTGACTTCGTTTTTAGTGTCATCAAATCGAACTAACTGATTATCTTGCTGGCCACGTACGTCGTCGATTTCCATTTTGTCATCCTGATTCTGTTCACTAATTCGATTTTCCAGTAACAATTCCTTGCTCGTTGACATCTGGTGACCTTGCATCGACTCTGTCGAACTGGATGCTGACGGGCTGGGTATCAAATGGCTGTCAGAGTGTATCACAACAGACTGTGTTGGCTCGTTGACAGGTTGATCATCAATTTCCATGCTTTCTGGTATGTGTTGCTGTGTTGTGACTGTCTGGCTGTTTCCAGAAGCTAATACTGGGATTTCCAGAGGAAATTTCATTGAGGAGGATTGCTGCAAATTCATATATTCGTCGACTGATTCCACAACTCGTTCTTCATTGAAGTCCTCCAGGTTCGGTATGTCTAATGATTCTGTGATTTTTGTCACACCGTTCCTAATAATCTCTCTAGCAAATGGATGTTCTGGATCATACTTCTTCGTTTCGTCAAAAAAAACATCCCTTGCTCGAATGACCTTGGTCCCTCGTGGTCCCTCTGTCCAAATTAGCCAAATATTGTGAGACTCGTATCCAACGAGATATCCGATTTGAGCCCTCGGTTCCATCTTCTCACTTTTCTTGGTGTTGATTCTCACGTACGCCTTTGATCCAAGCAAGTACAGATTTCCAATGTAAGGTTTCTTGCCATACGCCATCTCATATGGAGTCTTATAACCGATTGCTTTTGTGGGCGTCCGATTGATGATATAAACCATCGCTTGCATAACATATGGCCACAATCCTGTCGGTAAGTTTGCTTCCTGGATCGCACTTCTTGTTCGTGTAGTGATAAGTCCTCCAGCTCGCTCGCTTGGCCCATTTTGTTCTGGAGTATTAGGAACTGTTGTCACAAGGGTTTTCCGTTTTGACTTGCACCAATCTTTGAAGTCATTTCCATTGATTGCTGATTCGCCGTCACAATGTATGACTTCAATCACAACATGGAATGTTCGTTTAACATCCTCAATTAGCCATTGCAAGTCAAAATTTACCGATTTCGTTGGGGTTGTTGCCAAGGCGTGGTATTTTGTGAAAGGGTCGAATAGATGAAGTGCATACACATCTCCATTCCTTGCCAAGCTCATAACAATGATATCGACAAATACTTTTTGGAACGGTCGCGTTGGATGTGGTATCGCCACTCTGCTTATTTGTCTCTTTGCCGAGGAAAGTTCGCAAATCTCACATTTCTCCTTGAATCCTTCTTCATTCCTGCCTAAAGCCCTTGGTGAAGTGACAAGTGCACCCTCCGTTGCTTCCTGAAGTTTCTCAACGGCTTGTTCCGATATATGTCCAAGTCGTTTGTGCCATACATTCCCAGGGTCCTTCAATACTTTTCTCTCGAAAGAACTAAGTGCTAAGTCGTTTCCTAGAGAACTCCTAGGTTTCCGATTTTCATCCCATTCAATCAGATAAAGCCTTCCTTCCTTCTTCAGTCTACAAATATCTTGTTTCTTTGTCACCAATCTTCGGGTCAAACCATTGAAGAAAAGTCTATATTCCTCAGCCATTCCTTGAGAGATAATGTTGGTATGCATTCCTGGAACATACCATGCCTCCTTCACCAATATCCCTTTCTTTGCCTGTCTGCTAATCGGATTCGTTGGATAGATGATCGTTTCCCCTGGTCCATACATCTTTACTGAGCCATTTCCAACAAGACAGATTCGTTCTTCATTTCCCATATTGCGAAGCCGTCTTAAGTCATTGAAGATGTTAGTCGTTGTACCGTTATCCAAAATAACTGCATCCTTGAGGTCTTTGTCTGAATCTGTGGCTGTCGCTATTGTTTGAACTTGTATTGCCATGCTTGATCGTTCAAAACGCGGACCTATCGATATCTGAACTTCGTCCTCATCATATACAAAGTTCGATCTTTCCGGTTCGTTGTCCTTCTTGCCGTCGTCAGATTCCTTTTTATTGGTTGAATTTGTCGGTTTAAGCTTCCCTTTGACTGCCTTAAGTGCCTTCGCCAGCGATGTATTACTGCGTTCCACATCTTTGAACTTTCTGGTAATATCCTCATCTTCTTTCCAATCCTTTGATCTTTTTCCTTCATTGACATATGGGCAATCCTCAAAGTTGTGCTTTGCTCCACATAGACACGTTCTTTCTCTGTTTCTCGATTGTCCTTTCCGTTGTGATCTTGATTGATGATTAGTCTGCTGATTGGATTGCTGAGTCCCTTTTTGTTCTTCTTCCTTCTCAGGCTGATCCGATTTACCGCCTAACATCGCGAATGATGCATCACGTCGAGTAGGGTCCATCACGTTGCGTTGTGCCTTGACCCATTGTTCGAAAATCTTTATCATATCGCGAATCCCTGGTACTGAGTCTAATCCAATCTTCCTATGTAATACTTCCAGTCCGGTATCCAATTCGATGAGTGTTGTCGTCCATGATTCAGCAAACTTGGGTGCAATAAAAGCTGATGAACGAATAAAGTCCCTCGACATTCTCTTTTCTGGAATCTCATTGAAGTCCGTTAGTTGCATATCCAATAACAGATTCTCCCATTTCGAGATCCAGTCTTTAGGCTTCATGCCGCGTTTCGGAGTAAGCAAATCTCTATATCTCTCATTTATCAGTTCATGCTCCTGCTCCGGTTGCAGAGCAAATTCCTCCCGCAATTCCTGTGTCATCTCGAGAACGGTTTGCTTCATCCGAATTCGGGGATGGTGGCCTAGTTCAACCGTGTCGAATATATACGATCGTACCGCGTCCAATCGTTCCTGGTGCTTCTCGTACCTCGCCTTTTCGTCCTTATACCGTTGATAATGCTGCTCATATAACTGTAATTCCATTTGGAAGCGCATCAATGCAAGCTTCTCAACTTCTGGATCCTCGTTCTGATTCGGCATTATACTGTCTGGAAAAGGGGGTTTAACTGGTTTCTCCGGTGCCGGTTCCACCTCGTGTGTCCGTAACGGGGATGGATTCACATAATCCCAGACTCGTTCCTTCGTCGCCTTTGTTCTCAACTGCTCTAACCATCTCCTCCATTCGTTCGATGACTTCAAAATAACGGTTCCCTTATTCTCATCCATAGCTAACGAGTTCACTCGTTCTTCCTGGCACGGATATCTTCAAGGGTTCACACTCGGTCGTTCGTCGAATGTATACCAAAACCAACGGTCGTCGATAAATCAGATTTTACGTCTGCGAGTAGCTTCAAGTGTCGATCCAATACTCCAATACGATACTTGTGCTTATATTCGCAGGGATCCCAGGCTCATAACTGTCGGAACGTTGGTTTACTAGAGCGATGACTAAGCGAAGGCGAGCACTAAACAATACGTATAAGGAACTAGGTCTATTTTCCGGCACTCCTCTAAAACCCCTATCTAGGAGTATTGAACCTGTTTTTATATACAAGATTCCATAGAAGTGATATCACCAAAAGTCGACACTTGTGCAAATTGAACTTTCTAGAGATAGGCTGTAAAGTTGATTTGTAATGTTCAATATCGCGTCGGAATGTGATGCCAATTCTCGAAATTTCTTGATACGCAAATCTTGTCCTATTCCCAAATTGGTTTAGTTCATTCTGAGTTCCAACACTAGGATAGAGGGATGTAAGACCGCGTCGGGGCGTGAGTTAGATAGCTACAATCACACACATTTTGAACCCATACAGAATTGCAGTACCTGCTAACCATTCATGTACGTAAGTACATTAACGTGTACACGTGCTTTATGCACCCACAACTACTTCTTTTATTCCTTGATTATTGTACACTTTGTTTCGGACCCCAAGCGCTTACGTGGCTGGCAATTTCTCTAGACGAAGGCTGGCAACTTATTGGATAAGCAGGGCTGAATTATCATATGAGCTAACAAGCGGATCGATTGAGAATCTAGATCACTGGAACACTTCGTATCATGTTGAGACGAAGGTTTACCTAGGTATCGATGATCCCGACAGCCTATGCCATACTAGGCAATGAAAACAGTCATATTCATGGATTTTGGGGCGAAATATTTTATAGCGCAAAATATTGATTCCTGGGCTATAGTCCCGGTGAGGCTGGAGCGTTGACTACGAATCTGAAATTTTAGAATGATCTTTATAAACTAGGGAGGCCACACTGCAGCCTTAACGTTTGGCAGCCTCAACGTCTTCGCTATCTGAGATCGATATTTTCCAGTCTTACGATCTGTCAGATATAAACATGACGACTTTACAAATATATCAATCTATATGGTCGCTTCGACGGCCCAGTCGTACTCGGCCAAGGGATAAGCCAATGACTGTCTTGTGCCTAGGCATGCCACGCACCGGCACAGAATCGATCAAGGCTGCACTAGAGGAGTTGGGGTATCCAACATATCATGGCTTCGAGCCAGCCAGGAACCCTGGGGATTGTGTAGTCTGGTGCGACCTGATGGAACGCAAGGAGTCCGGTCGAGCGCTGCCTCTTACAGCTAAGGATTTTGACCAAGTACTAGGCCTGGTCCAAGCGGTGTCCGACACACCGAGTATATGCTTCGCAGACGAACTAATCGAAGCATACCCTGATGCGAAGATTATCCTGAATCATAGGCTGAACATTGATGCGTGGCAGGACAGTATTGCATCCGTGGTGGAGGGAAATAAATCATTCATTGGGTGGTTTAAGAGAGTGTTGGTCCTTTTTTCGCCAGAGCTGTTCTGGTTGAACCAACATGTGAATCGCATTGATCTCGACGGACTGTGGAACAGAAATATTGTCAAGAACTCTTTGACTACATACAAGGCACATTATGCTCATCTATCCAAAGTCGCTCCGCCGGAAAGAACTTTGAAATGGTCGGTGCATGATGGCTGGGCACCGCTATGTGAATTCTTAGGGAAGCCCATACCAAATACACCATTTCCGCATAAGAATACGCGAGATGAACAGCATAGGGTCTTAACAGAGACACTGATGCCTTACGCAAGAAAAGGCCTGGTGAGATTGGTTTTGACGAGCGTGGTTGTGGTAGCTGCTGGCAGCTGGCTATGGCGGAAGTTGAGATAATAATATGTACCCTAGTCGTACTACCAAACCACATGTATCTCAGCAGTCCGGAATGCAAGATCTGCGAGGGTCCGCATGCGGGTTTCTGTACACCGTACTGCATGCAGAGAAAGGGACAATCTTTACAGCTTATTACGTAATGGGGCCAAATTACAACTTAACTTAGTTAGTTAACTAGTTAAGTTAGTTAATTAACTAGCCAACTTATCTCGGGTCGCTTAGTATTATTAATCCTAAAAAATCACGTTTATCTCGTTACCTTCACCAGCGGTCTCCGCCATCTACTCAACTTAAAAAAAGGGAGCTCAATGACCCATAATTAGATCAGTAGAGCTCCCGCCATGTCTGATCGTCCAAGTCCTCCGAATGGTAAAAGCCCCACTGGCAAGCTCTACGCGATTTCCGACATTCACGTTGCTTTCGCTGCAAATCGAGAGGCTTGGGCTAACTTGGCCCCGCATCCTAATGATGGCCTGGTTTTATGCGGAGATATCGGAGAGACAGTTGAGCATCTCCAGTTGGCATTTTCAACAGCTAAGAAACACTTCAATACTATATGGTGGTGTCCTGGCAATCACGAGCTGTACACGTTCGCCAAGGGGTCCAGCGGTGGTGTACGGGGAGTAAACAAGTATCAGCAATGTGTTGAGATAGCGCGATCCTATGATGTCCTTACACCCGAAGATGATTTCGTACTGTGGGAGGGACGAGGAGGACCAGCGGTGATTGCACCAATTTTCACCTTGTACGACTACTCGTTCAGACCAGATGATGTGACCTTGGAAAGTAAGTTAATATCTCCTCCTACCTTGGAATTCTCGTACGGTAGAGGTCGGTATCGAGTCTTACTGTAGAGAGCATCTGAAAGTCTACCTATCACAAAGATTCTTCTCGGCGTTTATAGTTCGCACCATGGTTTTGAAATTTCCTCGGCGCTGACTTCGAATAAGATGCTGTCCTGTGGGCCAGGGAAATGAACATCGAGGCGACAGATGAGTTCCTGCTTCATCCAGACCCATATTCTAGTCGCCAGGAGTGGTGCAAGGCTCTTGTTCAGAAATTCGAAAGAAAATTAGAAGTCACGAAGATTCAATTTCCTGGAGTTCCTTTGGTCATTGCCAACCACTGGCCGCTCAGAGAAGACCTGGTGAATCTAAAGTTCATTCCGCGGTTTTCAATTTGGTGCGGTACAAAATTGACAGAGGACTGGCATCGAAGATTTAATGCCAAAGTGGTCATTAGTGGTCATCTCCATATTCGACGAACGGATTGGAAAGATGGCTGTCGATTTGAAGAGGTTAGCCTCGGCTATCCACAGCAGTGGAAGGAATGTATAGAAATGGGTATCGGGGTGAATGAACTTCTTCGAGAGATCTTACCAGGACCAGAACCTCCCAAAGAGAGTGAACAAGTGCCACCGCAGTGGAGAAGGTATGGATGAAATATGAGTCTTGCTGGGTGTTTTCAGAGTTTCCGAGTTTCGATGGCGTGGCGGTTTGAGCAACGAATAAGTACTGTAATTTCAGGCGTGGTTGTCCAGCTAGATCTATATTGTCTTGTTTAATTCTCCGAAGAATAGTCAGGTACTGTAGGTATCAGTTATGATAACCCCCTTAATCTTCCAGGCTCCTTGATCTCTATGGTTGCAATATTGGCTAGCCTTGCCGGCGTTAAATGAATTGAACTCACGCTAACAAACTAGTCCACATAATAGAATACATCATTCCCCGGTAGTGGAGGGAATAGAAACTAATCAGTCTCCAGAAGTTTCTAGAGTCCCGGCGGTTCAATCACCTTGTACCAAAGGGTTGATCTGATAGTAATCAAATCTTAGGAAAGAAAGAGTTGTTGGTGATCGTGAGTGGACTTGGTTTGTGGATAGTATCAAAAATCAACCACAGGCAAGCTTCATTAAATCAACAAATACACGTATTAATTACAAGACACACAGGGGGGGGTTCGGTGATTTGCTAGTTAAACAATTCGTATCATAGTGTTGATAACGCCACTTAAGAGTTTGAATTAAATGCAAACTACGCATATGGAGTACTGTATTTTGACAGCGGCATGGTGGACTGATATTCATATAAGTTAATTTATAAGAACTGTTCGGTATTCACAATAGGTACACTACGGAGGTTTCCAATGAATGGCCTGTTCTTAGGACAGGGATTAGCTTATCTTAGTACTACAGAAGGATGATCTAGTGAAAACTAGTTTCGAATGGTCACGCCAGGGTCGTAATGGCTATCAACGACCCATAACATAGCGTACTGGTATTCCCTGTCACAGCCCCAGCATCTATGTATTAATTGTGAGCTAATTTCCCTCGTTGTATTACGTACTAACTGGGGCAAGTTACGGAGCAGACAGGTAGGGGTCCGGCGCCCACTATCCGCTGTTCCCTAGGGGCTAATCCACACCACAAACAAACACCTCAGAAGTTATTGTTGCGCAGTACTTCAAGATAGAGGTGCTCATCCGAAATCGCCATAGCATGATCTTTGTTCCTTTAGTTCATGCTGGTTCATAAACATCCAGGGGCTTAGCTAGATCCTTCGCCAGCACGTGGCAGCTACCTAGCCAGGGGCCCGCTTAGGACAACCCCGGCACAGCAGCTAGAACGTAGCCATTCAATCTTCACCTTGAAATATTTTTCAACTTCAAGCAACATTCGGCAAGAGCAGTCGGAGAATCTATTTAGTCATGAACAGTCGCCCTCTCGAGTAATTGAGTTCTCTAGGTTTCACTTCTACATTGTACTTCTCGCTACCTTACTTCGGTTGTGTTTCCTCTCATATATTCCCTGTTGTTCGTGGCATCATGAGATCGTCTAGTTTGATAACGACAGCTTCGCTGCTGAGTACTGTCGTGGGTGCGATTAATGCCGCGAATAGCACCAATACAACATCAATAAAAAAGAATGCAGCGTTACTCGGATTCGACTATGATTACATCGGTACGTGCAATTCTAATTCTATCACCGCAATATCCTGACATCAAGCAGTAATTGGAGGAGGCACTGCTGGGCTTGTAATGGCATCACGTCTCTCAGAAACCGCTCGAGTTGCTGTGATCGAAGCTGGAGGCTACTATGAAGTGGACAACGGAAACTACAGTACTGTTCCAGGGCTGGCTTTAGCTTCACCCTTTCTGTCCACGGCAGAGGACTATCCTGCAAATCCAAAAATGGATTGGGGTTTCCTGAGTGCATCCCAACCTCATGCCAGCGATCGAATAATTCACTATCCCCAGGGAAAAACTCTGGGTGGATCATCGGCGCTCAACACGATGGCTTATCATCGAGGAACGAAAGGCGCCTATCAGCTCTGGGCAGACTTGGTTGCTGATCAGAGCTACACTTTCTCCAATTTGTTGAAATATTTTCAGAAATCTAGCCATTTTACCGCGCCAAACTTGACAAAGCGAAATACGCCTAATGCCACGGTCCAGTATGATGCGACCGCTTTCGATAATGCACTTGGCGGTCCTCTACAGGTTTCCTACTCAAATTATGTCGATACGACGGCGACTTGGATGGCTCGTGCTTTGCAATCGATTGGCTTGCCCGAGAGCACTGTGGGATTTAATAGCGGCGTTCTATCTGGATTCGGTGCCTGGATTACAATGACTATTGATCCCGTGAACGCTACTCGTTCAAGCTCGCAGACAAGCTATTTGGAACATGTCGCGAATCATAAGAATCTTGACGTTTTATCACACACCAATGTGACCAGGATTTTGATTGATCCTTTCTCTAAAACCGCTTTCGGAGTGGAAATCGTGAGACAAAATGGCGCTGTCAATTTTCTAGTTGCCAATGAGGAAGTCATTCTCTCCGCAGGCGCCTTTGGATCTCCTCGTCTTCTCATGCTTTCTGGTGAGAAGAACCCTAACACGCCCCAAATTCAGGCACATGCACAAAACGGCTGACATACAATAGGTATTGGCCCCGCGGATGTACTGAAGGAACATAGAATCCCAGTCTTCTCCAATCTCCCTGGTGTTGGTCAGAATTTGTGGGATCAGGTTCTCGTCCCCGTGGAGACCGGCGTTAATACCCCCAGCGGTGCTCAGGTTGAAGCGAACCCGGTGACCAATGCTGAGGCCATCAACGAGTATCTGAAAGATGCAGCCGGACCTTATAGCTCTCCCGGAGCTTATATAGCCTTCGAGAAGATTCCACAGGAGCTTAGATCTAATTTTTCTTCTGAGGCCCAATCAGCTCTCGCCTGGTTCCCGTCTGACTGGCCTGAGGTTGAGTACGTGGGAGGTAGCACCGTCAACAGCGACGGTGTGTCTCAAGGCGTTTGCACTGCTGTACTTGTGGCTCCACTGTCTCGTGGCAACGTCACGATTGTTAGTTCCAACTTCGCTGACCAACCGGTTATTGACATGGGCTGGTTTTCTCACCCTGCTGACCGTGAGGTCGCCGTCGCAGCCATCAAGCGCTGTCGAGAGGCGCTTGCTTCTAAAGAGGTCGCATCTGTTGTTACTGGTCCTGAGGTAGTTCCTGGTGCCTCAATCCAGACAGACGATGAGATCCTAGCTTTTGCAGAGGCCGTTGCGACCCCAATCTTCCATGCCGCTGGCACTTGTGCAATGGGCAAGAAAGGGGATCCCAACGCTGTTGTTGATACGCAAGGTCGTGTTTTCGGTGTCAACAGCTTACGTGTCGTCGATTCATCGATATTCCCCATTGCCATACCTGGGCACCCCCAATCCTCCGTGTACATGCTTGCGGAGAAGATTGCGGACGACATTAAGAGCTCCACTTGCTCCTAAATCTTTTTTCTGGTATGGAGGCTTTGACTAGCCTCAATTTCACTTCATTCGCCATCTCAATATCTTTGAAAATCTCTTTGTTCTTCCTGTACATTACTAGTTTCCTCGGCGGCTGATTTCAGATGGATTCGCGTCGGATGATGCATTATCATTTCATTTCAGTGTGCATGCCACGTAGCCATGATTTACTTATCACTGAAGCATAATGTAATATAATAATATACTGAGATAGTCCTTTCTGTACAGCACCAACTTCAAGTCTATATACATAGTCATCGAACAGTTGATATCGCTCAATAACGGGTATTCTTTTCCTGCATTTTTGCACCCCAAGATACATCAGAGAAAGACATTCGAGCGCGATAGCTGTACTAAGTAAAGAAACGAGATAAATGAGGGTTATGTACAGGTGTGAGGAGATTCACACTACATTCACAGGTTTCTGCTTTTTGGATGCCGAGATCGTCTGGTAATGACTTTTATCAGAAGCGTGGTCGTCACTGGCTCGTACATACATCGTAACGTCATGAGAGGAACCCATGCTATTGAGTGGAATGGCGTCGGATTTGGGTCCAAGCTTAACGAACTGATGATTGCGGCTGATGGACTGATCGGTGTGCACTATCTTCGAGGAATCGTAACTATTCATCGGGTTACTGCGCCGTGTGGTCCACGGCCCCCATGAAAGAAACTTCTCGCCGAAACGAAGGAAGAGTGGCCGCATAACAATCATGCAGGCGACAATAATTCCCACGCTGGGTTCGACCACGGACCACACGCATAGATCGACTTCGGCACCAGTGTCGTTCGGATCAAACTGAAGGTGTGCTACCTGAACTGTGCGTACGATTCCGGAGGCGATAGTCAGTAGACCAAGGGCAAAGATTGCGCTCGTGGCAAGTTTGGTGCGATTTGGCAATTGGAGCGATCCAATTTTGGGGATAGGTAGGAGGAATATAAGTCCGTCCGTGACTGCATCTACGATGCCAACCGAGATATACGCTGCATGTAGGTCTCCGCAAGTGCCAGGACTGTTCGTGTTCCAGTTATGGGAAATTGGACGGCAAATGAGAAATCCAATGAGCATAGTTTGTAGTGCCCAACCGATTGATAGAGCCAATAAGACGAATCCCAAGTAGCGAAACAGTTTGTCTATCCAAAAGAGTCGAATGAGCTGTAGGCATATACTAGCTTTGATACATCCGAGGGCGAGAGCATAGACGACTTGACCGGCGAGTGTTAGCTGCCTTTTATTAGCTCATGCTTCATAGAATCCTTGTACAAGCCCCGTCAAACAGGAGAGTATTGAGAAAAAAGGAGACCTACCTTGAGCTCAATCGTAACGCGATTTAGCTGTTCACTCTCCACCAGGACCGTACTTGACCATCCAACTCCGCCGATGGTAACCACTATGTGAAACTGTCAGGAGATTTATGATTGGTGAACCCCAGCAAATGAGCAACTACTCACACAATATATTGACCACCGCATATCCAATCGTCCATATAAGACCTACGACAATCAACCAGTCCTCGACTGAAGGAGTGACTCGAATAATGCGCCGTGCCCAAAATCTCATTCCAGTGGCGATCACAGCCAAAACCGGCAACACCACACTCGCGATGATTTGCTTAACAGCAATTGGGTTGACATTGTTCACAGTAGGATTGGGTGTCATTGCATTGCTGCCTGGAATGGTGGCCGTAGCCATAGTTTGTGTATAGGATTTCACTCGTCTATGATCATGGGTGAGTTGAAAGTGGTGACTGAATAAGGGACATCACGTACGACGAATAGTACGAAAAGGTACATACAAGAAATGTCAGAACTGCACTTCGTTACACGTGATAACCATTGCCCGCTATATTACCGAGCTAGGTCATAGTAGCATGCGCACATCATTCTGTTCTGGATAGTTCCAATAGAAAATACGCGATGGCCTCGGTGCTCTTACCTGAGGAATACATACTAAGACTCAGTTCTCGTCGTTTATGCCATATGTCTCTGATAAGATATGTCCTATTCCAGAGTAGCATAGTGGCGAGCCAAGGGGTGTTCGGACTTCGTTAGAATTACGACGATTACAACCAGCCCCAAGGTAGGATGGGGTTTAGTCACCCAGTAAATTAACAGTAAGCTAATATGATCCCTCAGGAAAATAATCAGTCCCAGCTACGTACATCGATGGGCCTGAGGGGATTTGGTGGCAGTCATTTCCCTTCTACTATAGTACTCTGTACATTTACCCGCTGTATGCGCCACCTATGAGTTAGTGTGTACGTATTTGCCCCGGTAAGTAGTAGTGATTATCTTAATGGATAGTAGATACACATGTCTCTCGGGCTATGTTCTAGAAAGGGAAAAGGGAGGAATATCGTCACCTATTTATCGGATACATAAAATGTCACAATAGGGACTACTCAATCTCGATCTAGAAATCCGAGGATCTTCTGGCACGTACCACCTGAAAGCCCCTCCTAAGTCCTGACCATTTCAAAAAAAGAAAAAAAGAAAAAAAGAGCTAGAATAAACTAACTATCCACGCTAATAAAATAGACCGTGCAGGTGTCCAACCTATGTTAAATTCAGGCAAGCCACATGCACGACGGCGTATACGCCTAAGTCTTGGGCTGTATTTATGCCATCCTGCTTACTCACAGAGTCCTATCGGTACTGGATATGTCCTAGCTCCTAACCAGATCGTTGGCACGTTAACTTGTTAAGTCTACGGTGTGTACAGTAGTGGTAAGATTAAGTCACATCTGTGCTCTCAACTTGTACATCTACAATTCGGCCCCCGACTTCCAGGGTTGTTGGCATGGCGTATTACACTAGTTGATTAACATCTTTCGCGACGGAGCAAATCACCTTACAAGACATAAACCCGTGACTGAAAATACTATCTTCTTCCAGTAGTATCTACTACAATGTTGTATGTATGTTAGACGTATGATCGTACAGCTACCATATGATGTGTCTAGATCCAGCCAACTCGGTGGTCACAAAGTGAGATGAGATTAACGAAAATACCGAGTTCCGTAAGTTGTAACACTTACAGCATCCATGATCCATGCCGTGAGAAACTAGAGACTAGCCTAGAATTATTCAAACGTGGCTTACCACAGTAGCATGACTCGGTCCTGAACGCGGTATTAACTCCGGGGTTAGAGACTTGGATTCTCCTGAAGAATAATATCAACAGCCTGCTCGGCAATAGCGTAGACCGCCACCTGATAGTGAGATGCTAGGGGTATTGGAATCTAGAATTTCCAAAGTAAGCCACAATCAAACGGCCTCCTGCAGAAACCTCACTTACCACACTGGCGTCCACGACCCTCAGCCCCTGCGTATCTCGTACTTTCAAAGACCCGTCAACGACACTACCCATGCTAGCTGTGCCCGCAAAATGGGAGGCTGTCATCCCCCCCATACGAATGCGTGCGTCGATAAGGTTGTCTGGTGCATCGGATTCGAGCGATCGGTGGCCTTCAGGGACGATTTCTTCTGCAACGAGGTCATTACCTTCGGGTGTCTCGAGCATGAGCCTTGATAATAGTCTCCAGCCCGCACGCATGACAAACTGGTCGGCTTCTGTCGCATAGAAATTGGGATCGATAATTGGAGCATCCCCCGGGTCTACGGATTTAAGAGTAATAGAACCCCGAGACGTAGGTAAGCAGCCCATATAAAAGTTCATGATGGCGCTTCCATCTACAGGGATGTTCAAGCCAATCAGTTCTCCGCCAAATGCAGCATAGATAGTCGTTAGTTCTAAATGACTATGCGGACGGTCTGCCAGGGATTGGTCGACTTGGTCGGAACGGTTTTCGTCTTTGGCTAAAGCGGACTGGAGACCTGTCGAAGAAACAGTCGTGGTCACCAACCAGTCTTCTGGCGGCACCCCTTTCTCGAAATTTGGTCCTTTGAAGAGCGGCGACCCAAATGCGACACCTTTCTCAGGCTCCCGCAACTTCCAATATCGAAAGACCATGAGATGGTCATGAAAATTTCGCCCAACATCCGGAAGATGGACGAGCGCCGGAATCTTGTGTTTCGACAACTGCTCGGAATCGCCGATACCTGAGAGCAATAATATCTGTGGAGTTCTCAAGGCTCCTGCGGAAATAATCACCTCTCCACCACTGCGGACAGAATATGTTCGGCCATCCGCTAATTCAACTCCCGTGGCCGTTTGGCTACTATCGAGTATGACACGCTGGACCAAGGCATTCGTCACGATCTTAACTCCGTCTTGAGGATATACTTCACTTGTCAATTGTCTCCGTCCATCACGCCAATTACTGACAAGCTCTGCGACCCCCTGAGGACGTCCGTTGTTTGCATCAGCGATTACCTTTAGCCCGACATTACACCATGCTTGCCGAGTTGTCTCTCGTAGTGGATACTGGCGCCCACTCGAAGAGACAGAAGATGTATGAATTGGGCCGTCAAATCCGTGTTGTTCTCGGTCTCCGTGTCTGTTGTGGTAATTTTCCGTTCGCTTGAAATATGGTAGAAGGCCTGAGTAACTCCAGCGACGATCGGATACCAAATCTGCCCATTGATCGTATTCTTGCGCATCACCACGAACCCATCCTCCTAAAATGAACAGTATTCAGTCAGTACTGGTTTTACTTCACTAGACCTATTGCATCCTACCCATATTCACTGCAGCACTCCCTGATAGACCTTTTCCTGCCTGGTAGTATACAGACCTTCCATTCAGATTAGTCTGGGGAGCACTCATGTACTTCCAATCAGCGTCGGAACCAAGAAGGAGGGCTGTTTTATGTGGAGAGTAAATATGAGGATTTTCAGAGAGATCATCCCCTGCTTCGATCACCAAGACTGACAGGGCGGGTTTTCGCTGTCGAAGCCTTGATGCCACCACGCAGCCTGCCAGGCCACCACCGACTATAATAATATCAAATGCTCCCGTTTCTTCAGTCGCCATTATATTTACTTATATCCTCTTCCTACAGGAAAAAAAAAACATTGGAAAGGAAAAGGAGAGGTACTTCCCGCAACTGTTGAGATTAACAGTGGAGGAATTCCTGTAGAAATAAAATTAAAATATGGATATGCGTAACAAAGTAGCCAGGAAATTAGGCATTTGGTGACCTATTTAGCTTTTAGCCATGAGGCACCGTCGTTGATGGTGAATGAAATCCTCTCTGTCTTATACAACAAAACTTCCTTTACTTATTCATGAAATTTCGAGATCGTCAATCTAGAGATCGAAACAAGCATCAGGACAACAAAAAAACAGTCGCGCGGGGTCTTCCTGTGATGTGTTACTTAACTTGCATCTACAGGGGTTTATTTTACCGCTAGAAGCTGTCAAGACCATTGCTAAACAAAGAGCTACAGTGATGCCAGCAATCCTTCGCTGAAACGAAGGTCCCGAAGATCCGGCAGGTTCTCCGTTCACTACTGTACACAATGCATGTACATATGTATGTGCTTTACTAAATGGTCACAATCTATAGCGCTGATCATGTCTATACATGTATATCGCCCCCAATTTCAACGGAAGCTGATCATCAAATGTAACACACCCAAATCAAAAGTGAAAGATGAATGTGCCGAGAAACTGTTCATCTTTTGGATTTTCAAGCCTAAGTAAAGTCAGCACTCTGATAAGACTGCAATGATAACCTTGGCTTCTCATCCATTGGATAGGTTACTCGCTTTTCAGTTGGCGCTTGTATGGATAGTTCCATTTTTACCTAATTCGTACATGAAAACGCCATGCGGCAAGTAAGTAGTGTAAGCACATGAATTATCCTAACTAGCTAAGATACATGTCAATACAAATTTGGCCACCCTGCAGAGGAGCCTATATACATGAAGTAACTCAAGTTTTTTAGCCCCTTTCGTTTCAGATTGCTAATGCTCATCACGGCGTTGCAATCCAAGATCATTTCTTCTATAATGGACACTGCTACAATTATTTCAGATCTTTCTCCTGTCTCATTGGGAGTGGCTATAGTTTCTGCTCTTGTTGGTGCTTTACTCTATGGTATTGGGCTCGTAATCTATCGTTTAACCCTTCATCCGCTGGCCAAATTCCCGGGTCCGAAAGTGGCAGCAGCTACAAAGTGGTATGAGTTTTATTTCGACTGCATAAAATCCCCTGGAGGCCAGTTTCTGTGGGAGACCTATCGCATGCATGAGAAATATGGTCAGACTTTCTCCAATATCATTGTGAGGAAGGACTACTCACTGACTTTGGTCTTGACTAGGCCCTATCGTCAGGATAAATCCAGATGAGCTCCAAGTGGCTGATCCAGACTGGTATGATACTTTGAACGCCGCCGGAGGAGCAATTCGACATAAGTATCCTCCAGCAGCCAACTTGGTTGGGACCCCTTTAGGAGGTAAGCAATGTCTTGATTGATTTGAATGTCATGCACACTAGCTGATCGCAGCTTTTAATAATATACAGTATTCGGTACAATCGATCATCACGTTCACCGTATAAGGAAAGCGCCAGTCGCGTCCTATTTTGGCAGAGGCTCCGTCATTCAGTCCCAGTCCGTCCTACGTTCTGGTGTCGAGGAGCTGAGTGATCGATTTCATCAACTATATGTCTCAGGGGATACGATCAATCTACGAGCTACCTTACTCGCATTTGCAACAGATCTTCTTGCTATCTATGGTAAAGCTTACAACCATGAAATAGAATATGCAATAATGGCTAATGACCAATGAACAGGTTTTGGTGGTTCTTTGGGCATCTCAGACTCGGAGGAAAAAGTTATGGAATTCATGCATACCATGAATGCAGTAGCTGTCGTTACACCTTTCTTCAAACAATTCCCTGATTTGTTGCCATGGCTTTTCATGCTCAAGCCGTGGATGGTGAAGTTGATCTATCCTGCAGTGCTTCCCATGTTGAAATTACATCGAGTGAGAATACCGCCAAATGTATGGAGATGGAAAGACGCTGACATGTCAAATCCGATCGAAATAGCAAATGCACTCCAAAGCAGTCGAGTCTTGGGGTCGATGGATTAAGACTAGGAGTGAAGAGAAACCAGAAGCTTTAACGCAATATCATCCCAGTGATATATTTGATGGCATTCTCAACAGCAATCTTCCGGAACATGAGAAGAGTGTCGACCGTCTCTCTCAGGATGCATTTTTAGCCATCACTGCTGGCAGTGACCCTATAGCTCGTACAGTGGCTATTGGGACATATTACTTACTCGTGAGTCCTGATAATATGAAGTTACTCCAGGATGAGTTAGACACGGTTATGCCAGATCGTACCAAACTTCCAGAGCTATTAAAGCTTGAGACACTTCCGTTTTTAGTAAGTATTCTCCGCAGTACATATACACCTACCTTGAACTTGTTTCCCTACTGACAGCATTTAGGTGGCAGTGGTGAAGGAGACCATGCGGATTGTTGGCCTGGCCGCGTCCAGGTTACCATTGATAAGCGAAACACCTATGCAGTACAAAGAATGGGTCATTCCAGCGCGCGTACGTATAGAATTCTACTGAGACTCGATCACATAGTAATTCTTCCGTCACAGACGCCTGTCGGCATGAGCATCCACCAGGTCATGCATGACAAGAAATATTTCCCTGATCCAGATACTTTCAGACCCCGAAGATGGCTGGAGAAGCGCGAGGATGGAGTACAGCTGGAGAAGTATTACGTGCCATTTGGTCGTGGAACTCGGATGTGTGTTGGTCAACAGTAAGAACCCTGAAGCTTCGCACAGGCACGTTCTAGTATCATCTTCAATGCTGACGGTAGGATGTGGTTATTAGCTTTGCCCAGGCGGAGATTTACCTCGTGATGGCAGCCATATTCCGTCGCTTCAATCTGCAGCTCGTTGATACGGACTTCAAAAGGGACATCGAGACTGTTCGAGACTGCTTCCTCACGGAGGCACGCTTAGAAAGTCAAGGGATCCGCATCAAGGTAGTCGGCGAGCGTCCTTAATCTGTGCATAATCGTGGTTGAAATCTCTCTCTCTATAGATCTGTATCAGGATTTGCGATATCTATTTAAAACTCATGAATTCCGATTGGATAGAGATTGCGCGTATTACAGTATCCGAAGCCAATGAGCGAGTTCTGATAAGGAAGACCCCTTTTCCAGTTATGCAGCAGTGTGCCTACAATGGACGATGACGGAATTAAAACGGAGAAGAAACCTGTCATGCTTCTGTATCTGCTAGGATTAGCCATTAGGAAGCGTCCAAGTCGTATTAACTTCTCTTCCTTTGTTACAGTTTCGTTTGGTATTCACTGCTTACTAGCTGTAACCTTTGACCTCGGGGAAATGTAGGAGGAAGCAGAACACAGTAAACTCGGGATTTGAGATCCCTGTTCAAAGTAAAGAAAAGTCGGCAATATGGTACCAATATCATAAAGATCATGAAGAGGGGGAGTGGAGTATAAGAGTATTATGCGTGGATACGTACATGAAAATGCATACCGAGCCGCTCTTCTGCGGAAGTTCAGCTTTCTAATTCGTTGTTACAACAACTTACTGGTCTTTTCTTAGATCCGTTGATCAGTTATTTTATACCAACGTCGACCATGCCCTAAATTCTTAGTTTTACATAACACTACTACCGTAGATTGATACCAGTTCTCAGTCCACTAAGGCGTCCCACTGTGGCCAACGTGCTCGTGCCTGTTGGAACGAAAAAGTCAGCAACGTACATACGGCTGAATCGAGGGTGAAGAACAAATCACAGGGATATGGAGTTAACTCTACGCAAGAATTGAATTCGGCTCATGTCTATTGCTCTAAATTTAGTGGCCTATGCCAGACCTATGTTATCTCAGGACGAAGTCATTTACAATTTGCTGTTCTGCTCCATGTTTGGTTGGTTTCTTTTCAAGTGCATATGGAGGTACGTAACAACTGACACCTCATCATTTCTAATAAGTGTGGGTGGTACTTTTTAGTAGTTCATAATGAATTCAAATTCCACCCTCAACGTCGACTTGGTCTATCTTAAGAAGCCACTGATTACACGCATCTGGGGGCCGAATACTGTGGTATTTTATCTATCTATCCAGTGATAGAACCAACTCTGCCCACTAAATTGGCGTCTTTGCTTATTGTGGCGCTTCTGGCATCATTACACTAATTGTTACGACACTCCGAGAGGGAGACTCTGTAATGACTGATAAGATCGCCTTTGACTTTCGCATCTGTCTCGCGAACGTATTGATATTCCAGTTTTTCAGGCACTCCGATGTATAATTAGATGGAGACTAAGTACCTCGAGTCCGCTATTATCCGCCATGGATACCTTGGAAGTGAATAATAATGAGTCAAGTCCTTCCAGTACAGGCGATTTAGTATTAAAGTGGCTCGCCTACATACCACTACGTTGACTGCTATTGTCGTACACTTAGCTCTCCACCATGTATCCAGTGAAGGTATATTCTCCTGCCATTACATTGCCAGCCCCATCACAGTCTCTCTCCCCTACAGACAAGAGAGTGTCAAGGCAGCAAATTTTGGCGTCACTCCGAACCCAAGACATTAGAGTACCTGACCTGCTTCCGTACTTTGCACACTGGCCTGCTAGACTTAGTCCAGAGCTTGAAAAGCTTCGGGAAGATGTCGACAACTGGCTGGATACGTGAGTGTAGCCTGCTCAATTACGGAGTAGTAGTTAACAAAGAAATCTATCTGGTGCCTAGATTTCCGCTTCCTAATAAAGCTCTCAATGCTTTCAAGGCATCCGATTTTGCCCTCTTTGGGGCGACATGGTGGCCATGTGCTTCAAGCTTTGAACGCCTGAGAATCGTAACATATGTTGCAATCTGGGTTGGTTCTCTCTATACCGCTTTTCTCCGCTTCACGCCAGCTAACCCAAGGCTTGTTGCCTTCTAGCTATTTATCTGGGATGATGGTACGGTCTTCTTTCTTTATTATGCTAACCAGTGCTAATATACTCCACAGAAATTGACAACGCCGCCGGCTCTATGTGGGAAGACTGGGAAAGCGCACAAAAATTCCGCCTCGACACTATTCAATATGTGCAATATTGCCTTGGTCTTGCACCATCCAACCAGGAATACTCGGAGTCAACGAACCCCATCATTCGAGCTTTTGATGTGATTGGCTTTGCCATTCGCGACTCCTGTAGTCTTTGTATGAAATACAAATTCTAACATGTTTGTTGACTTCCTTATGACTAACTTGACATCGTTGCAGCACAGCGGAAAATGGTCTATGATGAGATGAATGAGTTTATGAAACAGTCTGAACAAGAGCAGAGGCTCCGGCTCAATAATGACAGTCTTCCATCGGTTGACGAGTTTTGGAGTTATCGACTAGGTGCCAGCGCAGTTTTCATCTGTCTAGCGATTAACGAGTATGCTGTCTCTGGTTCCATATTCGTGTGCGATTGAACGGTCTTGCCCCAGAGAACTAAGAAACTTGCAGGTATTCCTACGGAGACATGGATCTCCCAACGGCAGTATTCGAGGATCCTGACATGAAAGAGATCTGGCAACTGACGAATATCATAATTTCCGCGTAAGACCCTTACACAACGTATTTATTACGGTAATCGCACGGTTTCTAACTCCCTACAGCGTTAATGATATGCTATCTTTGAAAAAAGAAATTGTATGATTTAGCTCCGAATCCGCTTCAAACTTTCCATAGTTATTGTTTTAGCTTAACCTCAATTTCAGGCACGGGATGCGATTGACAGTGTGATTCCGATTATGTACGTCCAACTTGGTAGTGTCGAAGCCGCCATGGACAAAACGGTCGAATTCGTGGTGTCCATGATTCAGAAATTTGACGAAGCCGAAGCGAGACTCCTTACACGATATTGTTCAGACGAAAATCTTCAAAAGCAATTGTGGAGATTTGTCGATGGTGCCAAGTACTATTGCACTGGAAATCTTATATGGAGGTAATTATCATTTCATCTTTTCTACCATTTCCTATCCGGTTGCTCTAACACCCTGAAGTCTACAAACGAAGCGTTATGGGGTGGTTGAATAGTTGAGGGAACTTAGGAGAACCTTCACATCTGGAGATAATCTATGTCAAATTCTCAATTACGGAATATCGTTCTCACGCATTAATTATCCCCAGGACTAAAAACAAACCAGGAAAGATTTTGTGCAGTATATGACGTGAAAAGTATCTTTCTCATGGGGAGGTCTTTATAGTGTGTTCTGAATAGCAGGTACTTCGTGATGCAATCTTAGTGGTGGAAAATAGAATGGAGACGGAAGACTGAACAAGCGTCAATCCGGAATTAGAGCAGAGCTCAACTGTTTTGTCTATATTCCGCTATTATCATTATATAGTTTTGTACACATCAATTCGTGCAAGGCTCACTTAAATCTTGTTCCTAGTAAAGGTTGTTCTGTATCACCATCATTCAATTCCTTATTCTCCTGAACCCATACACGCGGCGAATATTTACCACCAATCGAAAGCTACATAATGCCGCATCACGTATCTTGGGAGACGACCTTAAGGTTTTGTAGGAGATCCCATTATGAACACCGGATAATTCAAATGGCGGAGATATATTAACTAATCAGACCTATATAACGTTGTCCATCGTTCACCTCCGCCGCAACCAAGAGGACCATAGATTGCTAACGAGAGGTACTCAAAAGTCAACCTAATATCTGATCAATATGGTAAATGTTTTTTCTACTTGTGCGGTGTTCTTAGCACTCACGACCTCCGTCATTGCAAAGCCGGTGGCTGAGCCAGCGATCACCCCGGCTCCAAAGCTGCTTGACAAGAGAGCAACAAGCTGTACGTTCTCGGAGTCCAATGGCGCATCGTCAGCCAGTGAATCCCAGAAATCGTGTTCTACTATTATCCTGTCGAACGTTGCAGTCCCCTCAGGGCAAACACTAGATCTTAGTGATTTACCAGACCATACAACCGTAAGAAAGGGAGCATCCTTATCTTGAGAAGCTCATGCTGATTTTCTACCTATAGGTTGTTTTTGAAGGGGAAACGACCTGGAGTTATCAAGAATGGGACGGCCCTCTACTACAGATCTCAGGCAATGGCATCACCGTGGAGGGTGCTTCCGGCGCATATTTGAACCCCGATGGAGCGCGATGGTGGGATGGAAAAGGCAGCAACGGAGGAAAGAAAAAGCCCAAGTTCTTCTCTGCGCATGATCTTACTTCGTCATCGATCACCAATTTGCTTATCCAAAATACTCCGGTTCAGGCAGTGAGTATCAATGGCTGTAATGGCCTCAATATCACAGATATGACTATTGATAACAGCGCCGGTGATACCGAAGGTGGTCATAATACGGACGGCTTTGATATCGGCTCCAGCACTAATGTGGTCATCACTGGTGCGAATGTATATAATCAAGACGATTGTGTTGCTGTCAATTCTGGAACAGACATTACCTTCAGTGGTGGCGTTTGTTCCGGTGGACATGGTCTATCCATTGGTAGTGTTGGTGGCCGAAGTGACAATACCGTCGAAACTGTAAAGTTTGAAAACTCCGAAGTAAAGAACTCCGTCAATGGTAAGTTGAACCTATCTGTACCTATTAATGGATCTAGGACTGACCTCTCGAGGCATCCGCATTAAAGCGACTGAAGGCGATACGGGCACCATCACCGGGGTTACTTATTCTCAAATCATTTTACAGGATATTTCTGGGTATGTTTGTGGTTTATTTTCAGTTTCTTGACGTAAGCACACGAATAGTAAACACTAACCCAAACATGACCAGATACGGAATTCTTATTGAGCAGAACTACAATGGCAGTGACTTGAATGGTGGTACTCCAAGTTCCGGAATTCCTATCACTGAATTAACCGTTGAACACATATCCGGAAGCGGTGCAGTCGAATCAGGGGGATACAATGTAGTTATTGCCTGTGGTAAAGGTGCCTGCTCAAACTGGACATGGGAGGACGTAGTTGTCACGGGAGGTAAGGATTACGGTTCCTGCTCAAATGTCCCTAGTGTAGCAAGCTGCTCTGCGTAGTCATGCGAATGTTTGTTGGGCTGATTACAGCTGGAGAAGAGCAGTATGTAATTAGTTTTACTAAGTGTCAATTGTCGTCTATTACAACTAATCCATTCCATTGGGTTGAGATCAGTCGATTGCAGCACAAATCGCAGACTTCGAATTCTAATCTTGGATAGTAGAGAGATTACAAGTCACGACTTCATGGCTGTTAAAAATCCATCTCGCATCTCTCTTCGGTAATTATTATAAGCACAAAGTGGAAATTAAAGGGCGGTTGTAACAACGTTACGTGGGATACGTATATATATAGATCTAAGAAGGATCACAATAGTTGAGCATACAAGGTACCTGTTACGGGCCAGTCCCGCCTTATGAATTACTATAGATTCATTCTCGAGTAGATAACATACATAAGGAAAAGAAGTAAGGAAAGAGAACAAACAGCTTCCGCGCAAACGTACAAATTTATATGCAAAGGGTGAATGGTGCTGTTCCAACTCGCTTAGCTCAAGCACAGAATTGTGTATAGCTTCATGTTCGGATAGGGATAGTTCGGATAGGGATAGTTTCCTAATAACTAGAGAATAGCGTATCCGAGCGCAGTATTTGTGAGGGCGTAGTCCTAACCATCGATATTGGGGTCAGCCCTTAACAGTACCGTATGGAATGTCAATGTACTGAAACCTATCTTCCCTCCTTCCGCACCATGTATTCTATATAAGAGACACTCGTGCTGTTTCGTGGCGATACGTTGACCACAGCCAGCTGAAGTATCCAAACTTTTGCCACTCTCTGTTATCGCATCAAACTTATTGTAACAACGAGATTGGGCAGGCATGTTGGTTGTTACAGCGGTATCATAGAATCCCATGGCTTTCATGTACCTAGGTAATGATGCTTTTCTCTGAGGCTTGTGGTTAATTTTAGCACTCTTGTCGTGGATATTCCATAATAGCTCGATAAAATATCCACAGTGACAAACAGAGGAGCCTATATCTGGGTGTTTTGTAATCCAAGGGCATGAATATACCAAAGGAATGGAATACGGAAGACTCCGCAAAGTGACATCCAATGCTCCGAGTTACCCAGGGCTATTGACGTTGCTAATATATGTCCTTGTGCAGCTCGGAGCGATTGTATTGCAATATGTGACTATTCAAGACAAAATGATGAGTCCTTAATAAAGCATCTCTCGGGTGGATCCCACGCCCTACAATTGTATGACATATTATTCGTAATTAACTAGTCAAGACCTGAGACAGTCTAGCGGATACTTATGTCTACGTAATCAACCAATTAAAAATCGAATTTACTATCATACATTGACCAATCATACAGCGCGACCAGATCTTTCTATCTCCAATATAAAAAAGTCATCTATTGTAGTCCCGTAGAGATATGTTCGAGGATGGTTTCAGCTCCACCTGACTGTTGGAGCAATTCGGAGAAGGGAGATCTGGTATAAGTTATATGTCTATAAAGATAGCAGATGCTCAAGGATAGCGGAAGATAGGTTTTCTGTACATTGACATTCCATACCCTACCTTGTGTGCTTTACCTTTAGTGATCCCTCTCGAATGTAATTATACATATCCATCGTAACGTTGTTACAGTTCTTCACTATACTCAGGATTTGTCGATTGATCGTATAATATGAGCTTTCCTCTCAGAATATCTTTCTGGATGCACTAAATCCTCCCTTTCGCAAACCCTCGGATCTGGGGAACCTCGCATTGTCCTGTATTCATTCCAATTTCCCCTCCCACATATCATGAATTTACCATATCATCTTTCAAAGCTTATCAGCAAGTTTCTGGTGATCGTTGTACTCCACTACCATGTACTGGAGCATCTCATCGCGATGTCCTTTTAATCTCCTTTTATCAATGACTCATGAGGTGGTTCATCGTTTAGAGTCCAGATAAACAAAGGGTCAAACTCATCAAACGTGTGGCCATTCTGAGAAGATTAACCCACTGCATTTCATTGATAATTTGTGTCCAATATCTGGGTACTGCCTCGGCCCCTAAGGTGCCCAGTCATTGGTGCAATTATACTGTGTTGCTGAAGTGTAAGAACAAAATTTTGGGCATCTAGAGATGCAGCGAAACCTCCCCTCTCTGTTGCGGTATGATTCACATTCACATCTGCACCATTGGCCAATGCGAGGATAGTTAAGCCCCAAAAATCCAGATCCTCCGCAGGAAGTGAAAATATGGTGACAATCGAAGAAAGGGATGACCGGCAATTTCTCAGTGCGGATTATTTCCTTGCGAAACGAAAAGAGAATTTTTCTGTGTTTCAGTTTATTGCCACTACCGGATACTGTCCGAAAAAATATGAAGCCAAGAACATTCTTCGGATCCGTCAGAAACGTGCCATAAATGGCACTGCTCAAGACATTTTCGCACAACACGCCTCCAATCGTCTTTCGATATAACGAAAATATGGGAAACTCTGCGCCGCCCATTGGAAGGAAAGCGTTGGTATCGGTGAATTTTGCATAATCGTTACCATACCAAGATCTTGCTTGTTCCTCTATCTTCCATCAAATTGTTCAAGATATGTACGGCTTCGGTACCAAGTGCCAGAGAAAGTGAGACAGCAGCATTCATATTGGTCAACTTGAGTATCGATTGGCTACTTTAACCCTGAATATGCTCGTCTTTTATATTTGCTACAGTGCCAACATTTGAAAGCATCAAGAGATATTTTGGCGTGGTACTTGTGTCAATATTACTTGTATCGTACCCAGGTCACTGTGTTCTGCTAGTGGCAATCAATCTTGAGCGTCTCAGCACGAGAATTCCTGTCTATTCTCTGTTGAATCTATTGGCGATACGATAACTCGAACGGATTCAAACCTGTGATATCAGCAAAATGTCATACAGTATGTCTATAACATTATAGCTACACCATAAGTCACCTCTGGGATCATAGGGTTTTCTGATTTCTGCCATTTGTATTGTATAGTCAGGAATTGCTGGTTGGATACTCCTACGGGAAGATGTGATTGGTACGGAGAGATCTTCTCGAATTCAAAAGGAAAACCCCAACGCTAGGATATTTATAGCTTAGCTTTTCACCGGTGGCCAATCATATATCCAGTTGATGCTTTGTGCTCTGACCAATGAGCATGCGCAGGCCTGTAAATTCTTGTGAGCTGCTTCCCATCGGTAGTAAATCTCGAGCATCAGATTATCAAAAAGATTGCTCATAGTGTATTCAGATACCGTCGAGTAAACTCTCCCTAGAATAAATCCAATGACCTCCATTGTGAAGTTGTTCTGTCCGGTTACTGTGCGTTCAACTGTAATCCTAGGCGTGGCCGGTAATTTCCAGAGCACCGTAAAGGTCGGATATAACCGCCAACAGGGAAACAAGCCGCGAGTAGGTTGTTCACGATAAAACTCTTAGGAAGCAATCTATTGTCGTTCAGATTATCCGTCAGATTATCCGAGGAATGACCGGCATATAGGCCCTGAAGGCTTATCAGATATTAGTGCCGGGAGCCCGGATTAGAAGCCACCAACCGTTTAGCACGGCACATGCCACAAACATTGACAAGAGATTCGCCAATTGATGCTGTATCTCCACCAAGTGGTTGCTTAAACGTTGTTCTCATGGAGACTAAGGATTACTAAATGCTTCTGCTCAACCATAAATTGTAATACACTTTTGTAAGCAATTTGCTGTTTCTCTCCGAGACCATATATTCGATGTTGCAACTCAAAGAATTACGGTGACCGCTTGTTCGGCGTAGTCTTTTCAATCACCCCGAATGATTTTATTATACGCGTTAGTTACGGAAAAGTGCCTTGGCTTTTATCGGTACAGTTGTTGTCCAAGTCTCTCTAAAATGATCTTATATTGTTTAAGCCTACTTCGGCATGTTCTCCGTTGTCATGCTCCAATGTGTCGATAGAGTGATTCTTTGAAATATATAATTTTGATGCAGTATTGCCAGGTGCATCTGATCTCGAGATGTCAATAATGAACCTCGTTTGCTTTGATTCGAGGAAAATTATTTCCCAACCACGTATCTCTCTTACAGGTTTTCGACGACTCGAGTATCCCTCTTACGAAATCTTGTCTATTGACCGAGGCTGGGTCACATGTTGCGCCTTAACTATGCAAGATGCCGATCAGGCGTTTGTTCAATTGATTAGTCTGTGCCGACAGCATCTCGAGGAACTCGTTCGGCCTTTTGTCCTTCCCCTCTTAATCTGCATGTTCAATGGGTGCTCATTGATTGATGCAGCTTGGATACCATCTTACTCCGCTCTATATTAATTTAGCACCTCGCGAAGAAAAGTTGAAAAACGAAAAATGACTGGGTTGTTAGGCGATGTGATCGACAAAGCACATCTGCATTAGATGCTATCGATCTTGATTTTGCCCGAATATGTATGCAACTCTGGGTGATAAAGGCGCTCCGCGAAAGCTGAAGCAACGGGGATGCATTCCTCGAAACTTACAAACTTTGCGATTCAGGATGACTAGTGCATCGTGACTCTCTAAATGTAACTCTTCGTTAGTATGAAGATATTATTTGTCCTTGCAGCGGACCGTCAACCTCGCTACAACCAATCAAGATAAGGAGTGGCCCCCCACAAATATTTCTTCAGCAAGAATAGGAATGCTTGAAGAAGACTTTAGACTGTAGAATGTGAAAATGCTTCTACATTTGTAGGACATTCGACCAGATCCGACGACGATTGTATGTAGATCCTTGACCCAGAAGTACATTAACCGATACCGTACCATGCAGAATCATATCTCCGAATCCTATATCATCAGGATTATTTGTATTGCAGACGTCGGATCTTTTATGGTGCAATACTCTAAGTTATTGCAGACTCCATGAGGGGTCATTCGCTTTTAGGGTACACTCTGATAGATCTTGGCTGCGAATGAGGAAAGCTATCAGCAAACTATCCGCGTGCTCGTCCTAAACAGGAAGCTCCCAGAGTGATTGGAGCACTTATCTTTTCTGCACTGTAACCTAGCAACTCCAACTCCATACCTGAGTTTTTCAAGAGCCGATGGAAACAGTTTCTGCCGAAAATCAGGGCTTTGCTCGTGCCGTCAAGAACAAAGACTGAAATTAAAGAGGGCCATCCGGGAAATTTGTACATCTCAACACTCAAAGGATGGCTTATTGACGCTTCTGAAGATACCTATAACCAGAACACGTGGTATTGTGGTCTCCATAGTCGTCGTATTCATGCAGATCCTAGTCATGTAGATGCAAGGCCCTGGCCAATGCCGTGGAAAGGGGTTTGCGGAGTTTTCAATTCAAATGCCGTCTCGTTGCATTTCCCAGAGAACTAGCGATAATAGCTCCCCGAGATGATGCTGGTGACCCATGCTCAAATATATGAATAACACGAAAATTTGACCTCGGATGGTAGATAATATTTAGGTAGTGTGGAATACAATAACTATAAATTGCATGCTGTCCTGCCATACATAGGACCTACGAGGGACTTCTGAGAATACCGCAGGTTGTCCACCGGATCGAGAGACCCTTGATAGCGCTCCTAGTTGCACAAGACATGAAGGTCATCTATGGAATTGTGGCAGGAGCCCTGCTTGCGTTGCCTGCTACTGCAGCTCCCAAGCCAATAACTCGCCGGAGTATGTCTTTCTATTCTCCCTTCTTGCTTCTTAATTTTGCATTCTGCCAATATCGTCAATGTGTAGAAACTGACATATATTTACCAGCCATAACGACGTCTCTTTTGGATAAATTGGACTTTTTCGCCCAATATAGCGCTGCAGCGTATTGCTCAGCTAATCTCGACACCACCGGAATTGCTTTAGCTTGCAGTGCCGGCAATTGTCCTGAAGTAGAAGCCGCGGATACTACAATTTTGTATAACTTTGACAGGTGAGCCAGAATCTCCCTGTTATGACAGGAGCTGGAGAGTTAATACAGGATCGACGACTGCAGCTCTAGTAGCTTTGGAGATGCAACAGGTTATGTTGCAGTCGACAATACAAATGGATACATAATCGTATCATTCAGAGGAAGTAGCGATTTCTCAAACTGGGTTGCAAACCTGGATATACCTCTCATTGATGCTAGTAGCATCTGTTCAGGGTGTAAAGTCCATGAGGGGTTTTGGGATACGTGGGCAACTGTAGCCAGCAACGTGGAAGCGACGGTCGAATCTGCTCTTAGCACTTATCCGGGTTATACACTTGTCACCACCGGCCATAGTCTCGGGGGTGCTTTGGCAGCCATTGCAGCAAGTGTGTTTCGCGCTTCAGGATATACTGTTGAGCTGGTTCGTAATCTGCACCGATTGATTGAATGGCACCACTGACTCCTCCTAGTATAACTATGGACAACCTCGCATTGGTAATCTAGCTCTAGCCGACTTTATTACGAGTGAAAATGCCGGAAGCAACTACCGTGTCACGCATACAGACGATATCGTCCCAAAGCTGCCACCGAAGTTGCTGGGTTACGACCACTTCAGTCCCGAGTACTGGGTTACTAGTGACAACAACGTGGCGGTAACAGACTCGGATGTTGTTGAAGTCCAGGGTGTTGACTCTACTGCTGGCAATGACGGGACGAGCGGTGACAGTACTAGTGCTCATAGTTGGTACTTTGTGGCCATTTCTGCATGTTCTTAATTACTGTTCTTAGGACAAGCAGACTATATATACAGTAAATAATGATACACCTTCTCTAAGACCGCCAAAAATTTGGAAAAGTCGGAGAATGAATCTACGGAGGGACATGAGAAACGATTGCAAATGTGGATTTTGACATGACTTCTATTCTATTGAAGTCACTTTTTCCAACTGTATGGAACACTCTGGAGCTTTTGTACATATGTTGATTATCATACCTGTGTATGTGATCCGGATCATCAACTCATGTTAGATCGTTATATACAGTACATGACTATTAACTTCCCATGGTACAGGCCCTTCAAGATCGTAGTGAGGCATATAGTGAGGCTTGCAGGTTCTTTCAGTTCATCCTGTCCACTGGCTTCTCGTAGAACTTCACCCGGTCACTATCCCATGGCCAGTTTTCTAATTTTTCGGCCAGGCAGAGATCCAAGGATTTTGGGCATATAAATTCTTCGCCTGTCATACTGGGCAGCTTCGTCACATGACCCTTGCTCGTAGGTCCAGTTTTCAATAAACATTGGCAGGCCATATTGGCTGTTTTGAGGATGGGCCTAGTTCGGGTCTTTCTTTTATTCGTGTACTTTTTGAGGCATGTTCGTACATTCTCTAGCGAGATACCAGCTTCAATAGTCGGAGTTGTGAATTGTTTTTCGAGTTCCCTCAATTGATTGACAAAGCATGCTGCTGACTCCATTGCTTGGCTGGCTCCTATGGCATTATGTGGCAACATCTAGTATGGGTTAGAGGAGACTTAGCAAGCGTCGTCACTGGCCTTATGAGTAGTATCAACCAGCAAGCAAAAACGTTCAGCGTCCCAATTTCCAGCCATTCCTTCTTCCAATACAGCCATCACGCTGCTTTTCTGTTGTTATAGATTTTTGCAAATTTTACGTCGTTGGTAATGACGACATCCGATATCTGTTCAATAACTGCTTCCAGGTCTTCTGTGCTGTACCATTCTCCTTGCTCGAGGGATTGGACCTTGGAGATTAGTGACCAGAAACTACATAAGCTTGCCCTCACAGCTACTGAAAAAAGTTATCGATATTTCATCCCTGTAAACACTTATTGCGCGTCCCTGGGTTAATTGAGGAAGTGCATACGATATGCCATAGACGCATCCGTAGTTCGATTCTAAATCTGTCATCAGTCCGGATCAGCAAGTGATTCCATAACTTGAGCGTTGACACTCAATGAGCAACAATTGTCTGGCATACGTGTTGGAGGAGCTGATAGATGGGTGATTTTCGGATAATTTCATATCGTACACATTACGTACTCCATCAGCGCCTGCAACGAAATCACACCTGACTTGACTCCCATCCGCAGCAGTGATTGTGGCAAAACTCTCGGCCGTTGAGACCTTGGAAACCTTTTTAGAGAAAAGCACTCGGGACTTATCTTGAATGCTTTGAAAGAGGATATCGAGCAGTCTTCGTCGTTCCATGAAGGTCATTTCATAGCCTAATCTGATATAAAGGGTGTCATCAGCTGCTAACTCGCCGTCTCAAAGTAGCGCACATGAAGGAGACATACTTACCTCTCTTTGAAGGCTTTCATATCTGTCAATGTTTGATATGTAGTCCCATCCACATCGCGATACTCCCATGAATGATGAGGAGAGTCGTATATGTGAACCTCTTCAAACATTCGCAGCTGGTCTAGTATTCGTAATCCATTTGCCATCAACAACATAAGCCCGTGGCACCTCTCCGTCACCGCGAGGAAGTGGTACCCCAATGACTGCCGCATCCACAATCTGGGGATGAGAGAGCAGCACAGCCTCGAGTTCACGGGGCGCGACCCAAAATCCACGAACATTGATCAGCTCTTTCTTCTGGTCGATAATATACTATATGCTAGTTGCTTCGTCGCAATACCCTACATCCCCGGTTTTGAAACAACCATCCTTGTCGAAGCTTTCAGCATTGGCCTTTGGATTTCCAAAATATCCTGGGAAGATCGTCATCCCTTTAAGGCATATTTCGCCTCGAACACCGTAGGATGAATTCTCATTTCTGTTATCATCAATAGGCCTTGTTTTGGGTTTAGCCATTTAAACATGTTCGATTGTAAAGATACATATGATACATATCAAAGAGCTTACTTGGTCTCAAGATTTGGGAGCAATCGTCCCACCGAGCAGGTATCGTCCTTTTCAGGGTAAGGAAACATAGTCGCAAGGCATGAAGTCTCTGTCGTTTTCCAGACTTGGTTAAACGGTGCACCTTCCTGCAACATTTCCTGTAGCCTAGCCTGGAGACCTTTGTCCAATGGAGCAGCACCACAGGTAACGCTTCGGATGCTTTTCAGAAAAGCTCTAGGCCGCGAATAAGGTGACATGAAAATAGCCAGAACGATAGGTGGGACAGCCGGCAGCTTGGTGACTTTTTTCAACGGATGTCAGAAATGTAAGCAACTCGAAACGGTGCAGCATGTGAATGACCTCTCCAGCTGCCAGAGCACTGACCTGGGTTGATGGAGCGGCAGCAGCGTGGAAAATAGGCAACGCGACAACACGGGATTTCTCGAAGAAATATGTCAGAGAACAAAACTTCAGTCATACCGTATGGAGACCCTGCTTACAGCATATGGTTTCGGAGATGGCTTCTGATTGACTGAGATGTACTACGTAGGTGCCCAAGTATTGCTCTAACGTGAAGTAGATCTTCAACAGAACAAGACGATCTTTCTGACACTATCATGAGGGGTAAACCTTGAAGGTTCAAGGCTTCTGCCTTGCCGGATATCGGGTTATCTAACACTGTATAGTAGAGCCTAATGAGAAACTATTTGATTCGAGATCGCTATTCATCCATTCTGACTGAAAACTGCAACCCGATTGAAATATTCACTGTAAACACAGTTATTGGCCATGGATCAGTCGTCTGAGAAAGTGAAGCATCACATATGGTGCAAAGCTTTACTGTGCTAAAACCTAACGTCAGGCTGGTGTTAGCCTTGAACTTAGTCATGACCAATAGAGCGTGCAGCAACACGCAGCCACCACAGTGACAAGTAGAAATGGCGTTTCTTTGCCGGTACAGTGTACTCCCTAGAGCCTTTGATGATCCTACTTGACTGTGGATAGCGTCTAGTGCTCTGTAACTCTCAGTAAACTACGAGATGCAGAAAGATAATAAGCGCACGTGCCACCTTGTTCATCATGTTTGCTTTTTGATCGAATCTTCTAGATATTTCTGTATTCAAAGTACAAAGTTACCAATACACTAACAGGTTTGATACAAGTCGGCTTTTTTTCCAAAATACGTACTATCCATATCCGATTAGCATGTGGGACTAAATTAGGGTTTGAAAATTGATCTATGTATACTTGCTTGGGAAGGAGATTTTTGGTGCGACTGTAGCATGCCTAAAATAGAAGCAGACTTCACTACAAGGCGTCTCGATAGCCCTACAAAGATAAGTCTCAGTAAACTTACCGCAACTGCAATAATGGCAACTCGGAGGACAACGAAGAACATTTTGTAAGTGCTGAGATGAATCTTCAGAGGGGAATGAGAGTTAATTCAATACAGTATTCAGATGCTTATGTGAACCCACCTTCAGGGTGGTTTTTGACGCGATCTTTGTTCTTGGAGGTGATGAAGCTTGATGCAATGTTGGGGTGTTTAATCTTGAAAGTGTGTGAAAACCACCGCAATTTATACTTGTATGTTGCAGTTTCTGGCATGCTATAGAAATGAAGTAATTAGAAAGAAGGGTCCAACAAATCATTGATTGGGAACCAAAACTGAGGTGACTTCCGCATCCTCAATATAGTGGCAGTAAGCTAGTACTGGACCTTCTACTGCTGAAGGCCAAGGGAACCGTAGTCAATAGATCTGGGTTAGAGAAATTATCAGTACTAATGACAGCCAGAGGATTCAGGGTAGATGAAACTTGACTCTCTGCATGAGAGGTAGAAGGGGGCGATTATTAAGTAGAAGGAGGTATATATTGTCCTGCTTTATTTACTGCTTGTGGTATAGAGAAAGAAGGAGGTTGAGCCAGAGGGGGGAATCTCTTGCTCTTATTCAGCAATGTACGTATCTAATCCCCGAGGTAGAGGCACGTCTTCCCTAGCTCGTCTTGCAGCATGATGAGCACATCGATCTTTCTCTCTACGTCAACAAGCTTCTGCAATCTGTGGGGTATCCTAAGAGTGAGCACCTTGAAAATGGAAAGAGGGAGCAGAAGACGAGGGGCCATCTTGCTAACTCTTCTCTATAGTCTGTTGCGGGAACTATTAGGTAGAGATGTGTTGAGGTACCCTGACAATTCTTCAAAGTAAAGTATTAGTTAGCCGCATAAAATGAGGAACATGAGTGGACCTTAACTGGAGGCTTAGGGACGTCCGCTTCATTGCTTTTCCTTTTAGCAGTACGATTATCTCTTTTTTTATTTTAATACGTAAGACACGTCTTTTAAGTCTGATTGCCAGTTTGGCTCTTAAACTAGTCTAGGGGCTTGTCAGTTCTACAGTCTGAGCATATCTGACAAGGCTTAGCCATCACAACAAGCAGTGAAAAGAAACGGTATGGAAACCTAATGAGAGAAGCATGGTGACAATCAAATATAGATAGGTGAGTAGGTAGTGAGAGGATAGATAGTGAGAGAATATGAAGGAGGAAAGTGGTGGTGTTGTTGTTGACAACACGATGGTGGAAATTACGTGGGGAAGAATATAAAACCCTATGTGGGTGCACTAAGGTGCATGTACGTACGTACGAAGCAATAGAATCAATTTCAATGGGTATTCATTCAGTTCTGTGTCTCCTCCTCTAAGTACATCATGTTCCAAAGCCGCGTCTATATAGACCTTCTCCTGAGCTGATTTGTAAGCTATCCCATGGGGTAAACTTGAGACCATTCTCTTACACATAACAGTTTCGGATTGATCGCTTCATTGGAAAGTCAGCTTATCTGACACATCTCGATTGCATGAAGCAACCAACACCCTAGATTATTGCCCTAACTATAATCCTGAAGCTGTTGGAACTCAGAATGAACTAAACCAATTTGGGAATGGGACAAGATTTGCGTATCAAGAAATTTCGAGAATTGGCATCACATTCCGACGCGATATTGAACATTACAAATCAACTTTACAGCCTATCTCTAGAAAGTTCGATTTGCACAAGTGTCGACTTTTGGTGATATCACTTCTATGGAATCTTGTATATAAAAACAGGTTCAATACTCCTAGATAGTGGTTTGAGAGGAGTGCCGGAAAATAGACCTAGTTCCTTATACGTATTGTTTAGTGCTCGCCTTCGCTTAGTCATCGCTCTAGTAAACCAACGTTCCGACAGAAGCGGAAGATCACGTGACAGTGCTTTTTTGTCGAGGATTAGGTAAGCTAAACCTAATCAAGGAAAGCCTACAACATTGATACAAGGAAAATTCGAGAATTGAAGTCACAAGATTGAATCTACGAATCAACTTTACAGCTCTGTGTCGAGAATCTTCTATTTGAGATTGTCTGGATATCTTCTATATGGGATTCTCAAGCATAAATAGTGTCCAACAATCCCCTCAAGATGTAGATAGAAGAGTGGGCAGAATAAGGTCAATATCAATATTTCCACTATAAAGATATCTTTGAGTATTAAGCTTAATTGAGTTTGTGCTAGTGCACTGCAAGTTCCGATATTTTTTTTCATCAACTAGAATCGGTTGTGCAAAGTGTTGGTTGACCAGATCAAATATTAAGGACCAATCATATTAAAGTGGGCCTGACCACGGTAGGCTCTCTCCATACAGTAAACTAGCAGAGCTTACGCTCTGCTAACAAACGAGGTGTGATTCAGGGGAAAAGAAGAATTGTAGATGTCAATGATCATCCTACTCACTAATCTAAAGAAGCCTTGAAGGCAAAACTTGAAGCATCCATAGTTATATTAATGACCAAGCTTAAACATCGTCTTGCCCTCATGCCCACTCGGAAAAAATGGACAGGCGCAACCTGGCAGCCTGGCAGCCCTTACACATTGATTGTTTGCGTCAGGGATTCTCTGACTAAGTATTTGTGCTCGTTTCAGCTCAGAAATCCTCCTAGTTTACAGTCTTGCCATGCATGACATGCAGTCCCAAATGCTCCGAACTGTATTATCGTTCATATGGTCGACCCGTATACAACTTTTGACGAGAATATTCGTTGTTAACATATATAAGGTGCTTCCAAGGTTGACAAGCCGTTAACATTTCACTGAGACTTTTACTAGGCTACAGAGTCAGTTACTCACAGTGACTATCAAATGCCTATTATTTCGATAAAGACAATCGATATTTGCCTTGTATCCGTGTAGGACAATTTTGGAGTTTATTCAAGTACGTGTAACAACGTTACAAGGGATATATATATAATTACGTTCGAGAGGAATCACTGAAGGCTAAGCACAGAAGGTAGGGTATGGAATGTCAATGTACTGAAACCTATCTCTCCTGCTTCCGCAGCATGCATTCTATATAAGAGACATCGATGTTGTTTCGTGGCAAACATCATTGACCACAGCCAGCTGAAAGTTGTCCATAGCCAGCTGAAGTATCCACACTTTTGCCACTCTCCGTTGAGTTTGCCCTCGTATCAAACCAACCCTAATCCCTAAGAGATTGGACAAGCATGTTGGTTGTTACAGTACGTGAGAACGACTAATTCTCACTCATTGACTATATCTAATGAAAAGGGCATCCTCCCCTTCTTTCCTTGACCAATTGCGACCTATATTGTTCCATTTGGGTTCTGCCTTTACCCTGAAAGTGCCGCGGTCCGACGTCTAACGTATTAAAGCCTTGTGGGAAGTATTTATCTCCGTCATCTCCGGGCAGAGGCAATCCCTGAAGGCGCTTAACCCAGGCCGACGGCCCCCATCGATTCCAAATTGTCGGCTTCACATAGAATGGCATTGCATCCCAGATTTTGACATAGTTCAGTCCGTCTTTGTCAGGGGAATAGTCGAACAAATCGTAACGAAGAAAGTAAGGACGAGGTAGAGCAATGTAGCGGAGGAAATACTTCCGGATGGCTAGTATTGCACGAAACAATGTCGCAAATAGAGGATATGGAGGGTCATACCTTTAGCAACCATTAGCAACTTCATCTTTGCATTATATGCCATAATTTGAATGATGAGAGGATGAGATCTGGGTTTTGGAAAGGGAGGGATACTAACATTATAGCAGCCCTCAATCTGTCGTCCATGATAAAGGATACAAATTGTGTGCCTACCAGCTTCAAGAAACCCGGCAAAACATAGATAAGCACGTCGGTGGTTTTATCGGCCACTTGTTTGTTTTTCTGATGAGGCTTCATATTTTGTACTTCATATGCGTGACTCCAAACACGAATTTCTTCAAGCCAGTGGAGGCCATCCTGGAAACCTCTTTTTCTCTCGAGCGCTTTTGCATCTGTCATCTCAGAACCAGACGGCAAACAGGCATAGCTGATATCCAATGCATCACCTAAGCTTTTCCAGTATGTACCAATGGCGCATTTCTCCAGATCAGAGAGTTTGCGCCATTCATAAGTTTCAACAAATCGGATTGGTTCAAGTGCAAAAAGACTCAACGTATACAGCATGTCGTCCTCGAGAATATGACCCGTCTTTCGGTAGTTGGCATGCAAGAATCTGGTTCTTGCAATCGCTTCGTGGGCCCTCTCAGAAGAAGGCTCGAAGGCCATGAACTGACCGATCAGTACACCGGTGTCGGCATATCTCTTAAAAGCCGTGGCTGGATTAGAAAACTCGGTAGTTCGTGCTAGAAGAGATGATATAGTGGGAATTCCGTATGTCTATTCCTGTTTCTTAGCTTGAAAGCCCACTGGCGGTGGCCAGATCCTGGCCATTAGTAGAGGAATTTGACTCACTCTAAATAACGCAAATTGAAAAGACTTCACCGCCGTAAAGGGGAACTCAAGTTGTAGAATGTGCTTTTGAATCTCAAATGCCTCTTGGTCTGTCATGAATCGAAATGATTCTCGGGTTTTGAAAGGATATTTCCTCATCAGGTAGCGCATTCTGGCGTACCGAAGACGCGAAGCTATAATAAGGTGAGTTGTTGTCAGCACCAACGCCACGATTAGACCACGCTGAAGGGTGAAGTTCTCCAGTAGTTTCAAACGACTCAACCCGGTTGTGATCTCGCTGAAGAGGACGGTGGTAAGTTTCGAAAATTTGGTCATTTTATCCATATAGACGATATGTAACAACTTTCCTTTTTTATTTTTTTCTGACGTTGTCGTAGCTTCTACATGTCTTTAGCAGGAGCAACAACAAAAGTGTGCTGCTATATAGTAAAGCCAAAGAAAACATATTGACCATATACCGAGGTCCAAATAAAATATCTTGTGGATTTCTCACGTAAACATTTTACCTTCAGCTGATATTTGATACTTATCGTCGCGGGTTTGGATCTCGGTTCCCAACGAAGGTGCCCAATGAGGTAGTTAGCCCTAAAACCCCGTGCGGAGATGTTGGAACAAGGAACCCTGAAAATGTGTCCGATCACCCAAAAAGAGTGCACTATAATTGTCACGCTCAGCTATTGAGCATGAAATAAGATCAAAAGCAAATAAGCTACCCAATTGATATTGAACATATGGCGGGCGATCTTAACGTTGCTGTTGTTCCTCCTATGTAAAGAATTAGATGCCGAGGCCTCTCTCTGCCCCGCGTCACCAAGTCTCACGATTCTCAGTGTTACTCCTACAAATGCATTATCAGCCCATCACTCGGATATAGGGTTTCCGAGTCATACGACCGATTCTGAGGGCAGATTGGAATCGTGAAGTGCCATGTTCTTTAGGAGAGAGCTCGCACATGCTAGAGGTACTGTACTGACTACATCACCGCTTCGGAAATAGGTACCTCGTCATAGTAATTGAACTAGGCATAAGAAAGGCTAGTAATTATGCGAGAATGGAAAAACAAATAATATATGATATCCTTAAAAGCCTAGTTACACCTCGAAATAAGACTCAAGGGTTAGGGTTAGGTCTTCATAGTTCAGTGTGTTCCAAGGGGTTAGGGTTATACATACCTATCTTCGGGTCAAGAAAGTTTGTGGGAGTAAAGAAAAGACGTGGTCCATAGTACCGAATTAGAAGACCTAGGAAAACAAGTTCATTTTACTCCTTGATTTGCTGGTTGTGGTGCCTGGCTCTCCACTTCATGGAATCAAGTGCGAGGTGTAGATTAAGTCGGTCTACTCTTTAGTGAGTGATTGAGAACTTTCCGGTATGAAGCAGCATCTACGACTAACACAATTCAAGCCAAGAAACAGGTGACGCCGTGGATAGACGGAAAAGGGGGAAAAAGAGAAATCAACCAACTCATACATGTCAGGTAGCCCGTAGTAAGTGGATAGAGTAGATGTGGGAATTGGCATGTGGAGCGCCAAGATGAAATATTTGATCTGATCATCTGAGGAACAGGCTGGCCGGCATTGGCTTATAAGAAATGGAACTCCCAAAATGGTGAGACGGCTGCTGAGTGTCTGAATAACTTAGTTTGGTTTTGCAAATTCCAATAATAGGATATTTCTGTCGGCTATATCGATGTCGACTTTATCCATAGTGAGCGGTTTAGGTTTCGATTTCGGATCAGATGAGATGGGAGTAGATTACGGTCATCTTTTCCACATGCCTGACTCGATATGACTGGGTCCAAAATCCTTCAGGGCTCCCCATCAAAGCCTGTTTCTCCAATTAGATATTTATACTCACCCGATATACAGCAGTTCCATTCTCTTGCCTGAAAGTTAATTCTAGTCGAGCAGACTTGCTATTTGATAAGCAACCAGGGCCGCCAACTGACAAGCTGACAATATTTTTACCTGGAACCTTTTTCTTCATGCATACACGAGTTTCCAGACATCATGTGATTCATGTCTCAGAATCCTACGCTCCAATCCGAGAAGGGGAAGCATAAAGATCCAAAGCATCGTGTACATACTGCCGTTGACGAACCTGGCGACAATGTATCAACTGACAAAACCGGCAGCACGGCATCCTGGTTGCTCGAGCCGTCAATCATGTATGGACAAGGAACCATATGATCCTGGCATATGCTCTGTATGTATGCCCCTTACAGCTATGATTTGGACTATATTTTGTACCCCAGCAGATAAAGCAACCGTTAATGATATCTTGTTTCAGTTCTAATGGATTGAGCAAAGATGGAGAGGTAGCCGCGAGCATGATCGCTCTCTCTCTGAACGCAGGTATTGGAATCAGGTCGAAGATAGGGTGGTGCGGGAATAAAACTTGGGAAAGAGTCGGTTGCAGGAATCTGGAGGTGGACGGTCTGGACACAGACGCCAATAGAGCTGTTGGGTCATCGGAAGCCGATACTGGCCGATAGAATGGTGAACATAGAGTGAGGTAGTCATCACCAAAGAAAGCCTGTATTGTCACGCCGAGAAAATGTGCATTATGTATACAGACGCTCATTAAAGTAACCTGGGAAAAGGATAGCGCATTTTTATATGGATCTGCAAGATATGTGGTGCCCTTGCAGTTGTATGGGTCATTCAGAATTGCTCCGCCAGATTCTAGCAACGGCATCAGATGTGAAGGGTTGACACTACCTTCTTTAGCCTCAGTGCCTGGGTCTTTTGATTCATGATAACTCGGTATAAGCGCATCTAATGAGTCGACAGTACCGGACTCGAGTTCATTAAGCATATTATTCGCAATAACAATAGACCCGAGATCGGTCGTCAGACCATTCCCAGATAATGCTGGTTGCAGGGAGTCAGTTCCCGGGTACCCCGAGGTTATTGGTGGCACGAGTTGATCAGCCGCGTCTGAAAAAACCATATAATCTGCATATGGCAAAAGACTTGCATTTAAGGATTCCTCAAAATCAAGCAGACTGTTGTTTGAATCCAAACCAAGGTCGCCACCCAGCGGAACATCATCTACAATAAAACGTTCTGAAGACGACATCCCATGGGATCCGGAAGATGTGCTTGTCGGATAGACAGGAGCTTTTGGTACAGAATTGGTAAGATGCTCGTTAGAGATCTGTCGGTTTATCTACGTCTAGGTCGCTAGCACTAGTCACGTAGAACAGCTATTCCGACGAGCTGACGAGCCGGATCAATATGGTATAGAATTCCTGATATTGATGACTGTCCCCCAGGAATAAGGGGGACGGGGAATAGCTAACTACATATATACGCGGCACGCACGTGCCGCGTTAGACTAACTGATATCCAGTGCCGAAACGCGCTAGGTTTGATATTCACGTTCCGACACTGGCAACTCTCTAAGAAATAGGGATAGGACGACGGGCGGTACAGGATTGACAAAGCGAAGGGATTGGTGTAGCTTTTGTTGGAGGTGTTGTAGACCTTTCCACCCATCCATCCACATTGATATTAAGCTTATTTGTGTCGATAAGTGCCTGTAAAGCGCGACATGGTTTGCTCTTTGTCATGGCGTCGGCTGGATTGCTTTCACCGTCAATCCACTTGATCTCTGCAATTTCTTGGCGCTCGTATGACTGTCGGAGGCACATGAGGTCAATCATTAGACGCTTTTCTTGGGTAGTGCCTAATTTGACGAGACATTCGTACAGGCTCTTCGAGTCAGTGCAGAAAACAAGGGGAAGGGGCTTAGTGAGATGTAGAAGCTGCGTTGTTGTTGATTTGATTGACGCAGCCGAATCGAAGCCGTGAACCATGGCATAAAGTTCAGAAGCAAGTACGCTTCTTGTGACGCGCTTGCACTTGATTGAGGACCAATGTACAATATTTGCGTTATTTGCGCCATCTGCAAGAACAATGACAAAGCCAATTTGGGAGGAGAAATCCTTATTGTTTGCGAAGAACGAATCTGCAAAGATTACAAGGCGTAGCGAATCCAAGTCTAGACGTACAAAGCGTAATCTGCGTTCAGCATTATCAAGTTGCCATTGGAGGCGTTTATTAAGTGACTTGATGTTGTCTTTTTCTGGATTTGTGATCTGGGCAGCGAACGATAGATCAAAGGAGGCCTCAGGCTGCGATACAGAAGCAATGTAGGCTCCAAGTGCGCGTTGAGCCACATATTGTTCCTGCGGTGATACGTCCTTTCGGACCTTGCCTCGGGAACTCGTTGTATCCGCATATCGATCTTGTACGGGAATCCATGTGTAAGGACGTAGGATCTGGGGTGCGAGAATCAATTAAAACAGGAATCAGAGTGTAAAAACTAGTGGGAAAATAGGTGTAGAGCTCCCCTGGAGACTCTCCACCAATAGAAAAAGGGATAAAAACAAGCAATAACAACAAAAAACAACAATAAAGCGTATGAACTAGCCAAAATCAAGCAATTTTGGCCTGTATTGGCGGAAGTGAGAAAATGAGCAAACAAGTGGTTTGAACGTGCCACGTAAACATAGTGGAAGCGGCAGTTCGAGCGAGATTTCTGGGGTCAGCGTTTTCACTGATTTCAAGGTTTTGCGAACCTGGGGTCCCATATTGTCAATGTAGGTCTCCGGAGCAAGGCTTTTCGTGGATCCAGAGGCCTCAGGAACGTGAGAATCAACAATTGGGGACTCCGCTGCAGAAGGAACAATAGGGACTAGGGAATCCGCTGCGGTATGAGCAACAAGATTGACAGTTGATTCCGTGGTGGCAGCGCGAGCAACAGGAGGGTCCAAAGCACGAGAAATCTGAGGATCCAAAGCGTGGGAAACCGGGGAATATGGAGCGCAGGAAATCGGGGGATCCAAAGCACGAGAAACAAGGGGATCCGGAGCGCGAGAAACAAGAGGATCCGGGGCGCGAGAAACAAGGGGGGTCCAGGGCCTTGAGAAGCTCTCATATATATCTTTGTATGCCCATATCAATTGGTTGATCCAATCCCCTAGATATGGGGAATTGGGTAGGGAATTGACCCGTGGGATAAAGGCATAATCAGCACCATTATTCATCAATTCTTCAAAAAATGGATCAACCGAGTCCCAATGCTTATCAGTCCACCTATAGAAATCCTTATTATACCATTCCAAAACAGTTTTCTTCCTTAACTCGACACTTGGGAATCTGAACCGTCCCCAACCTTTTCGTTCCGAATTGGCGTATTGAACCAGTTTGTAGACCACGTAATCCTCGAGATCCTCGCGGGATTTGCCCGCGGGATCAAAATCTTGCCACCACTTCATATTGGCACGTTTGCGAGCGGTGTAGGATTGGCACGCGGAATCCGGGGGTGTTGGCAACGTGTGATTCCGGAGGATTGCAAACGTGGGATCCGGCGTGAGATCTGGCGCTGGATTTGCGGATTGACACAGGCAATCCAGGGAGTGGACGAGCGTGTAATCTGGGTTTACTAGGCTTCGTGGATTGGCGTGGAAACCCTAGCTAATCTGATCTGCGAGACCACAGATCCGAGAGATTTGGTGCGTAGCTCGGCGCACCGGGGTCGTACGTGGAATCCGGCGAGGATTCGTACAGAGGCAAGTTCGTACGGGGGATCCAGCGAGGATTCGTACGGAGGCAGGTTCGGTGCGTGGGTCGGCACACCGTAGATTGTACGTAGGCTTCGTACGTCAGATTCTTGCAGGTCGATTCTGACGGAAAGTCCGAATCCGTAGGCTCACTACGTTGATTCCTACCTAGTGCTAATATCGAGAGTTTTCTCGCGTAGGCCTCTAGCGTAGGTTCGTGACGTAGGCTTATACGGGGGATCTAAGCGTAGAATTCGTACAGGAATAATCCTTCGTGCGTAGGTTCGTACAGGGAATTCGTAGGTTCGTAAGACTCAGTAAAGAGCTCACAAAAGGATCGATATATAGGGTCGAATATATCGGTGAGTCGATATACGAGCGAACGTATACTGTAGGGTGTCGAAGGAGGTGTATTTTGTTAGGACGCTTGCACTAACGTAGGATTAGGGGCTCGTAGATAAATGTCTGATCTGCGGCCACTGATCAGTGTCGGTTTATCTACGTCTAGGTCGCTAGCACTAGTCACGTAGAACAGCTATTCCGACGAGCTGACGAGCCGGATCAATATGGTATAGAATTCCTGATATTGATGACTGTCCCCCAGGAATAAGGGGGACGGGGAATAGCTAACTACATATATACGCGGCACGCACGTGCCGCGTTAGACTAACTGATATCCAGTGCCGAAACGCGCTAGGTTTGATATTCACGTTCCGACAAG